CAAGAGACTAAAGTAGACTAATAAGAAGATAAATTTCTTGGCTCGTCACTTCTCCTAAGACTAAGGGAATCTACCTCCAAGGTTGTTCATTAATTATGACGAGGATACTGAAAAGTAATCTCACTTTAGTGTTTTATTTTTTTCCATTAAGAGTGTTTATATTTTTGCATTTTCCTACATTCTATATTTCAAACTATCTTTTAATAAAGTAATATTTTACATTTGTTAGTAAATCATGGTTGATCTATGTGAATTATTTGCTTGCATGTTTATCATTACGCTCTAGCATATTCTTCAGGCCTTTTTGACTATGCCAAATGGAGAGAATTAAACTCTCAATGAGAGTAAAGTATACTTTATGCTCATGTGAGGGGGAGTTTAACCAGTTCAAAATTAATCCATATGTTTTTTCTTTTACTTCCTTCTTGAGAGATGCATTATCATTATAAAATCTAGGTACTTGTAGTGTCAAGGTGATCCAAGGAGGTTAAGTTTGTTGATAGCACAACTATAAGTCAACTGAGTAGATATTTAGTTTTGATGATAACGACACCTGATATCAAACGATATCCAATGAAACCCTTATCTAGGGAAGATATATCAAGCGATAAAAGATGCTCAAGATGATTTATCAATATATCCTATTGAATCACGATATCCTCTTGAATATGTTCTTACAAATCAAGTCATCTCTTTGAAGTCAACACCATGGTCAAACAATATTAAAGTGAAGACTTTTATGCTTTTGAAAAATTGTGTGTTTTTCGGATTTTTGAAAAATGTATGAGGTTTTACTAGATTTTTAAAAAATTTCATGAGTTTACCAAATTTTTGGGGGATCTATGAGTTTTTACTTTTTACCGAATTTTTAAAAAATTACTGGATTTTGATCTACCTAATTTTTCAAATACTCTACCAGATTTTTCAAAATCCTATGAATTTTTAACATAATTATTCAAATACATTACTAGATTTTTCAAAAAAGTATGAGTTTTTATTAGATTTTTCAAAAAGTCTACGAATTTTTATCGGTTATTTCCAAAAATCTATGTTTTTATTGGATTTAAAAAAAAAAGTTTTTAATGGATTTAAAAAAAAATTATTAGTTTTTACCAAAATTTTCAAAATACACTACCGAATTTTTCAAAAAATTAGAAATATTTACCCGATTTAACGAAAAATTCGGTAAAATTAATTTTGATTTTTTTGCCTATAAAAAATGAACATTTGATGTTTTCATAAAATTTGAAAAATTTCAAATCATACTAGATTTTTAGAATATACTACCGAATTTTTCTTTTGCTCTTTTTTAACAAGGATGTTTTGAGAATATGAAAATCCGTGGAGGTGTCAAGTAAAATTTGAGGGTAGCAGGAAGAAACTCATCTGACACGCAAAGGAAAATACATGATTTCTTAAATAGTTAAATACTTCTGTCTTTGGCTTTCTATGCGGCAATAGAAAATTATAGCTAGAGGATAGTAATATGGCCAAAAGTTGAATTAAAATATTAAATTTTAATAGACCTTTTAAGGGGCGCATACGTTCTTTCTCATTGTCTTCCGGCAATCATATTAAAATTGCTTAATCCAACTATAAGATGATATAATGAATATTAGTATACTTATGTTTTTATTGATACATCCTTGTCGTTCTATGAGACTATTATATGTTGGATATTTATTAAAGGACACTTGTTTTTCTACGAGGCAATTATATGTTTGACGTTTTTTAAGGATTATTGTCACCTTATCAGACAATTTATTATTGGAATTCTCACCAAAATTGACTCAACTTTCCTAGAACCATTTCTTGAGGGACTCGCCCCACACAACATTTGAGGGACTCGCCCTAAACAGAAAATCCATTCAGTCAAGGCGACTTAAAGGAATATGCTTCGAAATAAATTATAAAGAAGGAAATCCAAATAAAATAAGAAAAATTGCTACACGGTCTGAGCATCTTCATTAAATATACCCTTAATGAAGTTATTACAAAAGGACCTAGCGTGGGAGAAATATAAATATTAAACAAAAAATACACATACCTAAAGTATTAAATGATGCACTTGCTCGCTCCAAACTACGCTTAAAAAACTCGCCCCCTAACCTTCACCTCAAGGATGAATTTCTCTATAAAGATATTGATGTCTCTTGAATTTAAACTATTATATCCTTCCAAGGTCACGTTTCTTGGTGAGCTATCAGGGCCGCCCCAATCAACTATCTCATTTGAGCTAAGAGTCGAAATGATAACCTTCCCTCAGAGCTAAGACTCACGAGGCATCTTCGCCAAATCAAGGAACAATAATAAAAATAAATCAATAAGCATGCCACCTAAGGAGGGAGGGTTATCATTAAAGAGACCCTATAGGGAAATGTTACAAAGCTTCTCCAGTGGGGAAACAAAACAAAAGCATGGCCTAAGAGTTGAACAAATTCACCTTTACGAAATATTGCTTGAGGGATTCGACTATCTAACTTTTGTTTGAGGGACACAACTTAAAGTCTCTCCTGAGTGAATAAACTTAAATTCTTGTCTGAGGGACTCAACTTAAAGTGTCTTCTGAGGGACTCAACTTAAAGTCTCACCTGAGAGACTCAACTTAAAGTCTCACCTCATGGACTCAACTTAAAGTATCGCCTGAGAGACTCACCCTTACGAAGTTTCTCCTGCAAATAAACTACATGTGTCTGGATTAAATCATTTTACCTTTTCTAAGACCTCATACTTGAGGGACTATGTGATAGGATAATTTTACGAGGTCTAAGAAAAGATGCACCATAAAGAAGAAGATAAGTCAAACACACGGACACTGAGCAAGCAGACAAGTAGATACATAAGGTACCCGAAGCTCCATCGCGGCTCTTTCAGAATATGCCATAAATCTCCTAGATTGGGCTTGGGCCATCAATCTGGCTTATCATCTACCCGCATAATACAATGTGGGAAGTGACGTGATCCCATAATAAATGATAGAAGAATCAGTCAATGAAGAAATTGTTATCCCTATAATAGAAGAAGAACTAGCCTGTCAAGACTCCCACTATCCAACCTGAGAAGCCTTTCATATATACTCCACTCCTAGAGTATGGAGGAAGATCTCCGTTCCCCCCCCCCCCCCCCCCCCCCCCCCCCCCCCCCCTCCCCAAAAAAAATACACATACAAAGCTACTCACCACTCTGTATAAGTTAGCTCTAAACACTATTAACAACCCTAAAATCCATAGACAACCCTTCAAACACAGAGTTATACTCATTGTACTTTTGTATTAAGTACACAATGTCATATGAGAACAAGACTCTTGATTTACAATTACAATGCAATCCGAACAAACAACAAATTACACAATTCTTACTCTAAGCTTTTCGTTCTCTCAACACTTAAATAATAACAATTATATGAAACTATTTTAAAGAAGAAAATGATTAATAAATAAGAGTCTAATATCTATTTTTCGTGTTTAGGAGAGATCATAAGGTCCTTTTGATATAGTAAAAACTAATTTAGCAAAAAAAGAAATAATTCATGGGCCGATGCCATCCTTTAATCATTTAGACCTAACTAATTGGGAAAGGAATGTGCTAGAAATGATTTTTAAAAAAGTTTTGAAAGCGATGAAGTTTATAAAATCATTTTGAGTGTATGTGTGTGTATTTCTATAGTACCTTAAGAGCTACTCACACTTAATTACATAGTACTAATCCTAAATAGATAGAATTACATTAAGACACATAATCAAACGAGCTTTCAAAGATTTAAATTACTTTGATATTGATCCGTTAGTATTTGATTTTCTTAGCTCTAAACACTAAGGTTGTCAAAATCGAATTTTTACATTAATTCATTTTGCATAGGTAAAATCAAAACATAAAATCAAAATATAAAATCATAGAGTTTATTTCATATTAAAATAATATTAAAATTATATACACAAAATATACATATACTTATAAGATATTATAAATGCACCAATAATTTAAAATTTTAACTTAATTATAAAGCAAAAATATACTAAATCAACATAACAATGTGTAATATATATAAACTTTTACCAAACTACATAAATTATTCACCAAATCATAAAAAGTAGCATCCAAAAAACCAGAGTATCATAAGTTTCTCAAGTTAAAAAAACAAGTGTTTTCATTTTCATCTTTAACTTAATTGAAAGTTCAATCATTCTACAACGTCATCTTTATTAGTATCTTCAGCTTTAACATGATCAAATTCATCTCTAGACGATAAATGTTCTTCAAATTCATGGGTCAAAATATATATTAGGCTTTTTAAAATTTGACAAAAAAGGTAAAATCGGTTCAAAGAGTAAACTCTAATAATTTTACACGATTTTACCGATTTTAGAGTGATCTAAATTGTTTAAAACTATCTCAGAATACGATTTTAAATAAATACATTTTTACCTGCGTTTTAACACAAAATACTGACCTAAAATATGAAACCTACAGAGTTTAAATTTTAAATAAAAAATTTAACAAACTTGTTGAACACCAAAACTTTCTTATCCTTTATTTTTTATATAAACTTCATTCTTATTCTTCTTATATGATAGTCATCATTACTTTACCTTTATTATTTTATCCTCGTCCAAACCACATATGAAATCATCTTTACTTTTTTTATAAACCTCACTATATATAAAGAATAAAAAGAGATTATAAAATACCGAGGGGACATTAACTAAACTTAATCAAACCATGAAAACAACCTGAAAGTGTATACAAATGCATAAAAATAACTAAAGTTAAAGCGTATACATGACCATCACTATCTAGCGAACCCGGTTACGAATTCGAAACCAAATAGAAAAAGAAAGATTCTAGTGTGAGAATTCACTTTTCAACATGATGTATGAACCAACCATCAACACATTATGATTCACGAACCAACAACCTCTGGTAAAAAAATTAACAAGCTAAATGACTCTTTCGAGTCCAACAATCCATCATCAAATTGAAGGATACAGATATGAAACCAATCACACATCAATCACGAAGACTGAAGTGGATATAAAGTTAGTGTCAGCGTAGAAAGGCAAACCAAAAGTCTTGAAACCTGCAAAACTTAACAAATATGAAGTCAACCAGATAATCAAAAGCTCATAATACCAACTCAGCACCAAAAACAAACTTGCAAAAGGACAAAGCAGCCACAAACACCAAACTCTGGATCTGAAGCAGCCGATTGTCGATCCGCCTAGAATAGAAGAACCACCAGAATAGTAGAACCACCTGAAAAACATATAAGAAAAACCACCGGAACAGAGGAACCACTCGAAAGCTATCGAAACAACTACCAGAAAAAAGGAACAAGCTGAAACGGTAACAAAGAGGCTACCACCACAACACTAACAATACTCTAAATTGGCCGAAAACGAGACCGTCATTGAAACCCGCTAGCGTAACCACCACACAAATACCATCGAAAAAGACAGCCCTAAGGTAAAATGGTTGTGCAGAGGACAGACCTCAACACACCACCACCATCATAGCTACACGAGGAAGGATGTAGTTTGGATTTGTGGGAGAAAAATTATGGGCGGGTGGTTCATAATGTGCGCCTTAAAAACCAATAATTTTCCTTAGTTTAAAATATATAAAACAATTTGTGAAATCTAGAATCACATTTTTATAAATGGAGAATTTTTAATAATGAGAGCAAGAAAAAATGAACATATAACTTCCATATCATCTTTTAAAGGCCTTGACTTTTCATAAAATCCTTGATGATTGTAAAATGATATTAAATATTATATTAATTAATGATAATTTTACGATTTCCACAGTATTTTTTTTTAATTAAATGTTAGGATCTTAGGCTAACGCAAATTTTAAAATGTTGGATGGATTTACCAAGTTATAAGGAGTTTGTGAAGGATTAATGACTATCATTTTAGGTGGATAGTTAGGAAGGTTTTGTGCTGAAAGAGAAATTGAATCTAATAAAGAACAATTTGGAATTATGGCATCTCAACCACTCTCAGATCTAGAAGGAAAGATCAAAGTGACAAAAAACCATTTTTATTTTTTGGAAGTAAAGGAGAAGTTGATTTAGATGAGGAGAATATGGGTGAGTTACATTCTTTATCGAAATAAATTTTTTCTTTATCTAAATTATATTCAAGTATCCAGTGGAAAAAATCTATATTAATTTGGCTAAAAGAGGGAGATGCAAACTCAAATTATTTCACGGTATCATGTCTTTGAGGAGAAGGTCAATGCTATTTGTGATACGGTGGGAGAACTGACTTGAGTTTTTTGTGTTTGATCGCAGTTGTTGCAGATAGCAAGAGTCACCACCGACTTTTATTTTATCCAATAAAGGAAAGGGTGAAAAGAACAAGAAAGACCTTTAGAGATATTTTCTTGAGTTCGGGGGGTAAGTTATGAAAAGGGAATGTGTTAGCACCCTTTTAATCTATAGTTATCTACATGCTCTTAGTTTCTAGCTCATTTTGAAATTCTTTGTAAATGTTTTTGTGTTTTGTGTAAGTTTGAAAATATTTTGAAAATGCCTTTGTTTTGGCAAGCTTTGTAATGATTCTCGTTTCGGCAAGAATGTATACAAAGTATTGGTTTTGAAAATAATTCAAAGAGATGTTTGTTTTTAGAAAGATGTTTTGAAAGTGTAAGTGTGAAGATGGTTTTATTTGCGAGAAAGCAACTACGAACGTTATACCTACTCAAAAAGTCTTAGTTCTTTTCCTCCTCCTTTAGATAATGTTATCTTACCATTAGTTAGTAAGCAACCATATCATTGGACGTGAAGGGACAGGTGAGGGTCATCGTACAATCATAGAAGGCAACATTGTAGGATACCTTAGCAATTTTCCGTAAGGGTCTAAGATCGTTTATCAAAGGCAACATTGAAGGGTCATCGAGGGACTATGATCTTGTATTCGAGGGTTTTTGCTAAAGTATCCCACGTTTGAGGGACATGGCTGTTTTATTCAAAGGCAACAAGTGTGGGTTAACCCTAGAGGTGCAAGTGTGGAAGGTGTATTTGTTTCATGCATTTTTGTCTTGAATTAGGGTTGTCTACTTGTTGATTTTAAATCTTTCCATACAAACCCTAATTACTAGCAATACTATTAAAAGCAATAACTTGCGGAAATTTAAAATTCTACGCTATTACATCATTTAGGGGATGGGGATACAAATTAAAAATTGGGGATGTGAGCAATTAAAACCTAATTACTGTTACAACCATATTGAATAATGAATAACAATAAAAATATATAAAAATATAAAGATAATGTAAAAATAAATGAAAATTATTTTAAAAAACCTTTATGCATCGACACATGCACTTATGCATCGATACATATCACTTATTGTTTTTGGAAATCAAAACCATCTCAGTATGAATCGACACATTCACATTTTGTATCGACTCATAAAAAATTAAAGGTTCTGGATTCTGTGTGGATAATAGTTTGTATCGATACATAATGGTTTGCATCGACTCATTTCTTGGTTGCATCGACACATTCATGTTTTGCATCGACTCATACATATTTTGGCTCTCTGTAATATGCCTTGATAACAATATGTATTAATACATAATGCATTGTATCGACTCATCCCATGTTTTATGACTAACATGAGTCGACTCATATGAAATATGCATCGACTCATACTGTGGTTTTACTTCTAACATATTTCTGTTACGTATATAAGTCAGTTTTGCACTTCATCTCAAACCTCGCGCCAGCTTCTTCATCACCATTTTTGAATTTTGTAACTTCCTAATTTCTCAACCAAATCAGAAAATGTAAACATGAAACTTTCTCTATTTTTCAACACGAATTCATCCATATAAATTTCATAAACTATAAATCAAAGATGAGTGAGAATTTTATTTGATACCAAATCTGACTTAATTTTTTCAGCAATTTCAAACTCAAAATTTTCACTACTCAAGCAATATAAATGAATTATAAGGACATAGTTAGCTTCAGGGCTATGATGTCTACATTTTATCTTCACAAATCAGAATCAAATGATGCTTGTATGAAGAGTTGAAAGTTCAGAAAACTTACCTTGCAAGTGGAGATCATGTTTTGAGTTTGAGCACCTTTCAAGATGCTGTGATGATCAGAATAGCTTCAGTGAACCTCTAGGAAGCTAATGCAATGCTTAGTTTAGATGGAGAGTGGCTGTATTGTTCTAGAGAAGTCAATTTGCAGAGGTGCAAAGTGAGGTTTGGGCAATGGTGATGGAGGTGTTACAGCTGTGAAACCGGGATGTGGATAGCTTCTATATGTGTATTAGAAGCTTAGTGATTGATAAAAATGGAAAACGCATGAGGGAAATGAGAGATGGATGTTCAAGGTCAGAACTGTGGTAAAAATGGAGTTTTTTGTGCAATTTCTGGTTTGAGTGAGTTTGAGGAGTTTCAATGCTTGTTTTTTCGTTTTTTGGCTGCAAAAATAGTGTCTCTATTTATAGAAAAAGGTTTTGAGAGCTTGAGGTGATCAGAAGTACAAGTTCACGTGTTATGGCTCTTTGGCTTGTTTTAGAAGCAAGCTTGATACACATTGTCCCAATGCATAGTACATGGTTATCTAGAGCGGTTACACGCTTTAAACATGTTTATCTGACTTTGTATGTTGAGTGTATGCTGAAGAAACAATTTAGAAGCTCAAGACAAGTTGACTTTGTGATTAAAGTAACTTTTCAAGAATGGAATGATAACTTTGTGCCATAAATGGAAATGCAACTTGGATAATGGCTCAAATGCTTAGACAATGGCTCTATCAATTGTGTAATTAATTAATTATGGAGTGAAACACAAGTTATAAGCCTACAAAGCAAGGTTATACATCATGTCTATGAGATTTGGTCAAGTGTTCATCACAAAAATGACCTAAAAATCAAGAATGAAACCTCAACTTCTTCTCTTTGATTCTCTTAGATCAAGTATGATCTCTTCAAGTTATTGGAAATTTTGGAAAGCTTGAAACATCCTCTACAATTTTCATGTTTACCATTTTGACAAAATCATCTTGGAGCTTGGTGAAAATTGGCCAAGAAGTTAGGTAAAAAACTCCCTAAACTAGGTGAAAATTTCTCTAAGTGTTTAAAAAAAAGTGCATGACTTCATGAATTTATAACTCAAAATCCAAACACTTCTAGGACTTTATCAGTAAAAAAAAGTTGTAGATCTCATAAAGATCTACAAATTTCATGTTGAAAGTTTTCTTTGAATCATCTTGCATCTTGGTGAAAAAATTGGCACGAAGTAGTGGAATTATCAAGTACAAAAATACTTAGAAAAATTCCTAAGTCTTGAAAAGTTTGACTTTTCAAATTGACTTTTTGACTTTCTTGATTTCTTGATTATCAAGCTTCATATTTTTGAATATCTTTATGAATTGTGATTTTGAAATCAAATCTTGATCAAAAAGTCAAAGTTTGACTTTTATGTATCAATTGACTTTTTATCGGTTGATCAAATTTCAACTATCAATCCATTGATATTGAAGAATGTTTTGAGCCATGAAATTAGGTCAATCATGTTGTATTTGAATACTTGAGATTATTCTTCAAGCCATTAGATCATGTATTAGGTCAAAAGTCATTGATCAGTCAATTACAGTCAAAACCCTAATTTTGACCATTTTGCCCTTTTGGTAAATTGAGTGCTTTTCTTAAGGGATTGTGATCAATACTTGATCAAATGACGAATAGGAATTTAAAATGTTGATGTTGGCCAAAAATCATGAAGTTTGACTGTAGGTTGACCATAGTTGACTTTTTACCTAATATAGTTGATATTCAATCATCTGGTCAATTGATTGGGCAAAATTGTGATTGAAGACTGGAAACTTGACATGAGTATTCTTGGAAGTCTATAATGATACATGAAGGTCATTTGAGACATTAGAATTCCAATTATCCTCGTGAATATCAAAACCCCATTTTGAGTCACCACATGTGCAATTTTGAGCCATTGAAGATCTTGTGAGAAATGACTTGAGAAAAGAGAGGGAAAATTTTTGGGTACAACACTATCATCTAAGTTTTAGTTAATGGAGTTCAAGTAGAGGGTGTCAATGAAGTGAAGAGTGTCATTTTTGATCATTTTCATAATCATTTTCAATCATTAGCAGTTGATCGGCCATGGATAGAAGATCTATCTGTAGGTGCAAGAAACACAAGAAATGGGGTTTGAATTGGGTTGCATAAAATATAATATTTTCACAACACAAAACACAAAGATAACAAGTGAATAAAAATA